TTATCAGTGAATCATATAATAAAACAGTTATTGCTGTTTTTGAGGTCAATAAAATGATTTAGCCATCTTCGAAGTACAATATTCACCTCGCCCTTCGGGCTCAGTGAATATTGTACTCCTCAGATGGCTACAATCATTGTATTGACCTCAAAAACAGCAATAATTGTATAGGCCCCTAGTCAATTTTTGATTATTTTATTTATTAATTTTTTGCAAGTTCATTCGAGAGAAAAAATTCATTGAGCAAAATACATAGTACATGTATTGTAAAATTATAAATTCGCGTTTTAAAACAGACGTAAGTACTTTCTATATTTAAGGAATCACTGTCTAGTTAGGAGAGTATGGCAAGGACATCAATAATAGTGGGAAACATGGGATAATTTAAGCATAACGGGCGAAGAGCCCGTTATGCTTAAATTATCCCATGTTTCCCACTATTGTTGATGTCCCTGACATACCCTCCTAACTAGACAGTGATTCCTTATATTTCCATTTCAATGTGAGATAAAATTGTAGATTTAGACTTCAAAAATGTAGATAAATAGATTTAAATCACACGATGACTTCCATGTCAATTTCAATAGTCCTCGCCAACCGACGTCAAACAAAAAGGCAGCCGCACGAGATTTACATGCATGTTTGGCCTCCTTAGCGTCAGACACAGAGACAGATGCGCACGAGAATTGCATGCGCATTAGGCCTCCTTAGCTCCCGACCTATCGACCTGCCTAATTTACATTCCGGCAGAATTATCAAGACATAAACTACCCCTAACTTTCAAAGAGTTATCACAGAGAAAAAAAATTAGAAATGGAAATATTCTGTTTAAAACTGTACCTAATATACAGGCAACATCATGATGCATGTAAAATTCACTTGGACTCGTGAAATTTCATAAATCTGAATGAAATCCAATATTTACCTCTCATTCGGGTTATAGTGTCAAATGGAAATTTGATTCTTCAATAATGAAATAGATTCAAGGGGGCGAAAGAAAAATGGAAATAAAAAAAAATGTTGGTGATTAGTTAAAAAGCACAATCTGCCAAATTACAGTCAATTCTTAGGATCAATATTACTTATTGTGAGACAATTAACTTACAGAAAATGAGGTGATTTATGAGTTGTAACATGATCACAAACAACGGGAAACAAAAGTAGAAATGTACATCCATTAGGCCTCATATCCCCTTCGATTTGATGCCGAATTTCGCCTTGTTCCTAGAATGTTCATATTTGATTTACGGATCACGTAAAACGATATTTTTCGGAGGGACCACAAAGCTTGACAGGGTTTTAATACTTAATTGACATATCTTGTTTCATGGAAAATCGAATTGCTATAAAACATTAAAAGGTCTCCCCGAAGTTCAGCTTCGTATTTTTGTGTTGTAATATAAATCCTAGTTGCTCTCCGTGTAAGCTTAAATCATTTTAATTATATGGTAGTCCTATTTTTTGATTGCTGAGTCAGATATGAGGCGTTTTCTGTATAATTTGAATTTATTCATGAACTTAAGTTCAAAGAACATCCTAAACATACCTTTGTTCTTGAACTAAAGTAAACCAAATTTTTAATGCTATAATTTACACAATATAGTCGTTATTCTCATTTTGTATTTCTTGAACGGCTTAGTTACATAAAATTATATGTAGTCTGCAACATATATACAAGAAACTTTGCAATTATTTCCGAACAACGAGATTTTGGAAATAATGCTTAGAAAAGTAAAGTCCAGGGAAGAAATCAGAAGTGTTTTGGATGTGAATCTGTCAAGGTTTTTGCCAACTCGTGGGTTAGCCTTCATTCATTCGGGTGATGTTACGAGTGCACTCAAGGAACGTCTGGACTAACGATGTCTAAATCTCTTGGGTGAAGATTAAAGGCTTATTTTAAGCAGTTCAAAAGTACAAAGCACACGTTTTCTTAATTTTTACTCTCGAAACATGGGATTTTTTTCCTCAATGAAATTCACGACGTTTTGCTGGACCTCGTTAGATTGATTGATGTGGCAGAGTTTGTGAGGAAAATGAAAGATGTTTTCATGAAAACCAAATTTTAGTATCCTGCCGTGTGGATGAAAGTTGAATGAAAGGCACGGGTCTAAAACATCAGGGGACAGTTAGGGCTGATAATCGACGATTATATCCAGAAACTCTTTCTTAAAAATGGTCAGTGTGTCCGCAATAAATTTATCTCCACCAATTAGTTCCTTTGATTTAACTAGCTCGAATTTTACGGTTTTTCTGCTATAAAACGGCAAGTGGCTAGTTTCTTAACCAGAAACACTCGTGAGCTAATTTTAATGTGAAACTTATGAATACTAATGAGAGTAAAGTTCTGAGTAAAACATGGCTTGGTCAATGTTCGACGACTTATCTAATAAGAAAACAGTGATGTCTATTTGTTAATTTAAGTGCAAATCTTTGCTGGCAATAAAGTTAATATGAGTTCATGATTCAATTGCAAAATATCAAAATTAGTTAAAATTGAATAGGCTCTGTAGGTGTCGTAACAGTATTTCGGTGGCCCCCTTCGATGCGGACATTTTTGGGCGCGACTGGACCTGAATCTTCTTATCGTACGAAGAACTATATCCCTGACTTACCAAATTCATTAAAATTAAGGCCTTGTTGAATTTTCCTATACAATATTTGCTGGGGATGGGGGTATTGCCATGAATTTTGAGTACCTGCTCGACTTGGAAAATAATCTTTGCTAGACTTGGGGAAGGGGGGTAATTAAATATTTATAAAGAATCATTTTACAAGAAATGAAAATGAAATTAAACTCTCAAAGGTTTGTTAAAATTAAGACCACAAAATCAAAGCCTTGTATTTTAGTAAGAATATATGTATAGTATGTTGCAGACTTTTAAGATGAATAGGGTAAGGGAGAGAACTCGTAATACATCACATACATGTACAATCGCTATGTAAAAAAAAAACACTCCAGGCAAAGCCAAGTGCATTTTAATGGATTTTAATAATAAAATTAAATTCAATTCACCCCCCCCCACCAAATGTTCTTTTTAATTTTCAAATATCATTTAAATAGGTGGCGAAAATGAAAGCTGGTCATTTCCACACTTGACTGTTTTCTACTTGGTATCTTTGCCATTGAAGAAAATGCGGAATTAACAACTTTGAAAGGCTCTCTTGTTTGCACGGGTTTTTTTTATACAACCGATAAAAATAGAATTATTTGTTTGTTTATCGTATATATTGTATAAATGTGGTCCTTTCATGAGGTCGATCCATAGACATATCGACCTACATGTAACATAAAAATTAAAAACATATCGACCGAGCACAAAACATATCGACCGAGCACGGAATGTGTGACCCTCAGAATCTCATTTTCTCATGAAATTTGCTTTATATATATATATATATATATATATATATATATATATATATATATATATATATATATACAAAGCTACATTCGTTTTTTTTTTTTTTTTTTTGAAAAGAAGATTGTCAAAAGAAAGTACCAGTCCGAGTATGCGATGCTTTTAAACATTAAAGAATTTTGATTGTTTTTATTAACAAAGGCTAGCAAACCACGATCATTTTTACACGTAACAAAACTTTTTTTTTTTTTTTTTTTTTTTTACATTTCCATTTTTTAAATTCTAATTGTTATAAAGAATCTAGAATGTACGGAAGCCCTGGAGGGACATTGACTTACTTGTTATGACTTATTTGTTATAACATTTTTGTTTTGACTTATTTGTTGTGAATGTTTCGTTGCTAGTTAAAACTAAGTGTAAGAAAGCTACTGAAAACCTGTTGCTTGGCTTACTTTTATGATAAAAATGATATTTAGTCCTATTTTAACTGTGGTTTTTGATTTACAAATTGTAGTTTAACGTCCATTGTAGTTGTAATTTCTAAAGTAAATTTTATATTCTTTTTGTTGTTATTACTTAATTCTTATTTTCTAAAAGTTATTACATAATTCTTATATGTAACTTCCAGTTTGCATGATGATTGACAAATTGACAATCACTACTATTTTATTTTGTCGCTAGTAATAAATTCAAGGACTTTTTTCTGAAACTATACGTTGCCTTCACCTTTCACACCACTTTTTGTAAACTAAACTCGTCATAACAAATTCAAAATAACAAGAAATCAAAGTTAATTCATAAGAACTAAGTCAAAACACATGAATTCAGTCAAAACATATAAGAAATAAGTCAAAACACATAAGAAATAAGTCAATATCTATCAAGTAATTACCAGATAAAAATTTAGTAATTACATCAGTTTTGTACGTTTAACTACAAAACTACAATAATAGTTCTCAATAGCTTACCTACACTTAGTTAGAACTAACAAAAAAAAAATCTCAAAACAAATAAGTCAAAACAAAAAAGTTATAACAAATAAGTCAAAATAAAAAAGTTATAACAAATAAGTCATAACAAGTAAGTCAATGTCCCTCCAGGGCTTCCGTAAGAATGGTTTGTCTTTTTAAAAAAAAAAAGAGAGAAAAAGTAAAGATTTTTGCCTTTATATAATGATTGATGCCAAGAAAAAATATGAAAACAAGGGAAATTTTTTTTTTCAAAATTCCGGAAATGTGAAATCACGGATCTGTATGGCCTCCAGTTTCCAAAAAGCATTGAACTCTCAAATATGTACAGATCTTATAATCGAATGACAATAACGTACGAACTGACTGACATTTGCAACAATTTATCGATGAAGCGACATGCGGAAATAACGAGACTTTTTGATGTTCAATTTTTATGTTTAAGTGCATCACAAACACAGATTACAAACTGTTTAATATTTACAACCACTTCGATTAGATAGATTTTTGATTTTCTGATTGACCCCGACAATTTACAAGGAAACAACAACCCTGAAATATGTATGACAGAAAAACAAAAGTTTTGAAATAGATCATGTCGACTCTCTGATGACATAAGAGAATGTCGCGCTTATAAAATCTTCATCATTCAGCGGATTCCAGTTTTTGCAGAATGAAATGGAAGAAAGACGAAGTCAACATGATACGCTGTGGAATATTAATTCTATGTGTATCTGGTAAGAGGAATCTTTCATCAAAAATGGAGTTTACCCTTGTTAATGCATTTTTATAAGTGAAACGAAAAAATATACATGTACAGTACCTGGTCATAAGTGAGTCATAATTTATTTTTCACTATATTTCATTGAAAAATGCATTTTTCTTGATCATTTTATATGACTAAATCACCACAAAATGCAGAATTATCTGAAGTTTTTTGATAAAATTTCAAAATAATTTTATCTGTAGGCACTGCGGTGATATCAAACAATACATAAAATGCAAACTACATTTTTTACGACTCTATTTTGTTTAGAAAATCATAGAAATTTGGTTAGTTTATCGTTTTGTTCAGCATTATACAAGGCAAGAAAATTTGAACAATTCTACATTCTGATTTAGTGAAAAAAAACAACAACATGGAAATAGGGCTAAAATTGACTTCACAATAATTTTTTTTTTTCATAAGAATTGGTTTTTTTTTTAGTGAAATATAAAGTGTATGAAAATGCAATTACGACTCACTTATGGCCTTATACTGTAGGCCTATATAAAAAAATTAACTTGATGCAAGATCCGAAAAATTTTAAAATACTTAAGGACCAAAGTTTTCAAACTAGTAGAAAGAAAAACAATACTTAGCTAGAAAAATTATAATCCTTACATCAATGAAGAAAGTTAAAGGACTTCATTTTATGAGAATGCAAGTGAAAAACATAGTATTGATTTTAAAAAGTCGTTCTATATTTTTTTATATTTTTATTTTTTAGGACTTTTTAAAAAATCTGTAGAAAATACCCTTTTATAGAAAAAAATATTATTTTTAAACTAAACGTCTTGAATGGTACTTTTGCCAAGCATCTATAATTGTGTTTGAGATTTAGAGATAACCAAAAAAACATATAGTAAATTTGAACGTTTAAGATCTGCACTGAAACAAATAACTAATAAGGAGAGCCATCAATGTAGCACTAAATACAAAATGTAAATTTGAATTTCCAGTCGACATCAGATTCTCATTCATAAATTTGTCTCCATTGTACGCAATAAATTAAAAACTCAAAATCAGACAGGGCTACACTCTGTGAATAATTAGAAATATTTTATCAAAATGAATCAAGAAGTAAAGACGAATTTCTCAGTTTACGATTCCAGTAATCATCAAAATCGCCAGAAAGCCATATGGATGAAGATAATTAACTGATTAATTCCTTTATTATAATAATTATAAAGGTGAGGATAACGAATAATGATCGTCCTCAAAAGATCTAAAAAAATATATATATATAAATGTATAAACAGAGCAAAATCATGAAGCCCCTGATAGTTCTGAGGTGCGATCAGGTGCCTAGGAGGAATAAGCATCCCCCGCTGAACAGTAACACCCGACCCTACCTTTATGTATTGATCATGAAGATAGAAGATTCAGAAGTCAAATTTAATAAAAGCAAGGGCTTAACCACAACTTTTTTTTCATAAGCGCTATTACACATTTGAAAGGGAATTGAAGGCTGGCTTAAACTTTATTGTAAATAATGGTGTACTATAAAAACATTTTTCTGCATGTTTGAAAAGATAATGTCTATCTAATTTTTACAGGCTGCTTCGCTAAACTGAGTAGTTCTGCAGGATCACTCCGACTTTTTCCAGAACCAGAACCCCGAAATCAGGGAAATCAAGTGCCATTTGAACCAATATATATACCTATAGCAGAAACGCCTGTGTCCCAGAGCATTCAACCATTTATTGGTCCTTTACTCTCCCAAATTAATAGGCAAAATGGTGGACAGAATCGGTTTCAACTACCCAATGGACCAAACGTGCCTTTCCCCGGGGGATCTCCAGGAATCGGTCACGGAATGCACTCTAGGAGTGTAACTCAAACATCTGAAGTTCCAGTCATTGGCTTCGACGATTTTATGACCCTAATTCGACGAAGCACTGTGGGTCAATCAGGTACTGGACAGGATATGACGTACGTAAACCTAGGATCTCTTATACCCAGAGCACCAATAGTTGCAATTCCCAGTAATACTCTTCCAAGATCCTTAAGACAAAGTTCTGAAACGGCTGTCTCGCAACAGACTCGTGTTAGTGGTGGACAGGGCCCTTTAAGTCCCGTACACGTGTCCTCTTTAACTCAAGGTCGTTCCGCGGGTTTTCTGAGTTCTGCACTTGCCAACATTAACCGAGTTCCACAGATTCCTCTTCATCCCGTTGCTGCTCTTCATCACGCTGTATCTAGAGGAAGAATCCCTCATCCTGGTCTTGCACAGCAGGCAGCGTCCTTAAGAATCCCCTCTACAGCAGGAGGAATCAATTCTGGTTTAAATCAACTTCATTCTGCGGCTAGTGCCGCACGTCAGGTAGCTGTCAACACTAACCAACGCACCGTGAATGCCGTCCAACGATCTCTGTTCTCTTCTGGCCAATTGCCTGGTCCAATACATCCCTCTATATTAAGAACATTTTCTAATACAGTTTCCATCCCAAGATCTCCTCTACACCATATAGTGAATACTGCAGCAACCGGGGGTATAATTCCAAGAGGTCCAGTCTCTGGTATATTGTCAAACATTGGAAATGGGGATTCAGGAGTCCCTGGTGGTCAAGGTAGATTTGGAACAACATCTAGACAGTTTAGTGCCTTGTCTTCAGGCGTTGGTAACCTTCCTCTGGTGTCCAGACCAACTGTAGTAGGATCTCCTTTCACTAGTAGTGTTCAGCCTGATTTCAATCAGAGAGAAAATCAAAGAAGATCTTCTATTTCATCTTTTACAATGAGATCAAATAATCCCTTAACCGTTAACAGAGTTACCATTCCTGGACCACTAAATGAAGATAGAAGAAACAGCTTTTCACAAACATTTGGACTGGATCAAAATCCTGTACCTGGAGCGTCTAGTGTGACGAATGATTTTGTACGTAGATCAAGCTTTGATGATTTCCTTCCCAGGGATCCACTGAGAAGGAACAACTTACCTGATTTCCGTGGGTTCAGTGGATTCAATGATTTTACACCCAGATCACCTATAAGTATATTTACTAGAAGGAGCGATGAATTAAACCAGCCATCAGGTTTCAGTCGGACCAGAAGATTTGATAACACTGAATTTAGAAGTTTCCAAGGGATACCAAGGGACAGGGGCGATATATTTAATCAGCCTTCCCGTATGTCTACTTTTGACGAGTTTCGTCCCATTTCTACAAGACCCTTAGAATCCCCAACTTTTGATAGTGGATTTGATAACTTTGCACCGAGATCAACATTCAGCAATTTTCTTCCCAGGTCTTCGCAAAGGCGCACCCCATTCTTTTCAGATATTAGAGAACAAGGTGACCGTGTTGTCCGTCCAAGGGCGCAATTTCACTCTAACAATGGAGCCGATTTTCCAAGAAATTTAGATCCATTGTCTTCATCCAGAGGTTCGAATTTACCTTCATCTCTAGATGAACGCTTACAGGAAGATTTCATCAGAAATAATTTTGCTCTCCCTAGACAGTTTGATCCTATTTCAAGAAATTTTGATCCTGTCACTTCAGGACGAGGCCCACTGATAGTTAGCCCGAGCGCCAGTATCCTACCGCCACTGCCACGTTTCGACACTCGTAATCAACAAAATCAAGAATCTTTTCCATTCCGTGAGGATACAACACGTAGATTAGGTGAACCTTCTAATATTCTTGGTCCCCGAGATTCATCAAGTTTTGTTCGACCGACAGTACTTTCTCCTGTTTTTGGAACTACCGACAACAATTTAGGTACCTTGAGAAGAGGAGTTCAATTCAGCGGTCCTGATTTCAATGATATAAGAGGGGGCCGTTTTGCTGATCCTTGGAATAATAGATTCAGTCCTGGTGCTGGTTTAATTGAGAGAAGAGATGGTCGTTTTGATGAGCCTTGGAATAATAGATTTGGTCCAGAAAGATTTTTTGATCAAAGAGATGACCCTTTTGGCAATAGATTCGATCCTGGGAATAGATTTGATAGATCTGATGAACGATTCGATGATCGAAGAGGGGATACTATGTTTGATGATCAAAGAGATGAGGTTTTTGATGATCAGTTCGATAGAATGGATAGAAATTCATTTACTCCTTTCTTTCAACCACGTTTTTCTCCTTTGGTGAGACCCTTTGGATCACGATTTTCCATATCCCCAGTCTCAAGGGAATTGACACGCGCTTTTCAACGCTCTCCAAATAGGCGACCAAGAGGCAGCTTCATGATATCTTTCCTCGTAAACATCGATGATGTATCTGATGCGGTAGATGAAGTCGATTTCAATAGAAGGATATCTCCAGGGTTTCAAAACAGATTCATTCCAAGAAGAGGATTTGCTTTTGGGGGAATAGATAACAGTCCTATTGGACCATTTGAAAGAAGGAATAATAGACCAATTGGTCCATTCGATGGAATTGATAATAGTCCCATAAGGCTGTTTGATAGAAGAGCTAACAGACCGATGGGACAATTCGAAGGGATTGATAACGGACCGATAGACCCATTTGATAGAACTGATAATGGACCGATAAGACCATTCGATAGAAGTGACATAGGACCAACCGATCCATTCATTGGAAGAGAGAACGGACCGATAGGCCCATTTGGTAGTAGAGATAGCAGACCAATCGGACCATTTGATGGAAGGAATAACAGACCAATAGGACCATTTGATAGTAGAGATAACAGACCAATCGGACCATTCGATAGAAGAAATAACGGACCGATAGGAACCTTTGGTAGTAGAGATAACAGACCAATCGGACCATTCATTAGAAGAGATAACGGACCAATAGGCCCATTTGATAGATCTGATAACGGACCGATAGCACCATTCGATAGAAGGGATATTGGACCGATAAGACCATTCGATGGAAGAGATATCGGACCAATGGGACTATTTGATGGGAGAAATAATGGGCCTATAGGACCATTCGATGGAATAAATAACGGTCCAATGGGACCAATTGGAGGGAGAAATAATGGGCCAATAGGATCATTTGATGGAAGAGATAACGGACCATTGGGACCATTTGGTGGGAGAAATAATGAGCCAATCGGACCATTCGATAGAAGAGATAACGGACCAATGAGACCTTTTGGTGGGAGAAATAATGGACCAATAGGACCTTTTGATGGAAATGATAATGGTCCATTGGGGTCATCCAATGGAAGAAATTTTCTGTCCAGTGTTCCCTTTATACCACCAATGGCACCTTCTCCTGCTTCCCGTGTACTACCTCCTATAACATCTCCTGTTGTATCACGTAGTTTATTGTCACCTGATCGATTCACAGATCAAAACAGAGATTTCAGACAAGGTTCAAGAAGACTGGATCCATTTTCTGAACCAGTAAGGTCTATTAGAGAGAATCCACGCCCTTTTGCTGTAGCTATTCCCGATCCAGACGGACCTAGGAACCAACCCTTTTTGACGGCCGCCATAGAAGGTCAGTTTGACGGTCCTGCCACAGACATTGATTTTAACTCTGCATTCAATCGCCGACAACCAAGCTTAACATCTGAACCTGTTGAGCCATTTCCTGATAGGAGAACTATTTTCAACCTTCCTATACGAAGAGATAGTACTTCTGATATATCTTCACGACAAGCACCATCAAACTTCCAACATTTATTAAATTTAGGAAATTCAGTAGTACATTCGAGAACATCACAAATTACTTCGAATCTTTTCAATGTATTAAATCTTCGACGTCCAAATTTAGCATCCCAATCTCTTGGACCAACAGGAGGATTGAGGAGTAGACGACCTGCAGTTACAAATGCCCAACACTTACTTAATATAGGTAATTCAATAATACAGCCCCAAACATCTTCAAATATTCTAGCTTTTGGTAATACCATTGGTTCACAGAGACCGCCTCTAATAACATCAAGACAACCTGTCAACACAGTGGTTGGGAGGATCCCCTTTGTCCCTCATTCGTCGTTCACCAATAGACTACATGTAAAACATGCAACTCATTTTGGTGGAAATTTCCGACAGGTCCCTAGAGGTGTGTCAGGTCTTTTGAATTTATCTCTTCGGGGTCATCGTAATATAAGACATTTTTTACCACTTGGTAGACACATCGGGCATATTGCGCGTGCTGGTGGACCGACTTTACCCTATTCAGGATTTATTCCGGGTTCCCAAAATGCTTACAGGCCATTCAAGTGAAGATTGACATTTTGTAAATTCTACATTCAAGTATCTACATTTTGCAAATTTTTTGTTAAATTTGTATGAATGTACATGTATATATAATTATGGTTACAGTGATTAAAATCGTTGTGCGATGGTTGTTGGAAAAATAAAATATTGTTTTTATTTGTGTTTAAAGGTTAAATTCTATTGATTTGTAATTAATATTTAAAAAATTGTCAAACAAAATTACATCCGTAAGGGGATAGTGAAACGCCAAACCCATATTTATGTATATTTATATCTAAACGAGTTTGCCTGAAGAAAGCTATTCTACGACGGCGTATTCGTGCCAATTTGACAATGTAGAGAATTTTTAAAAAAAAATCGTTTTTACAATTTTACAAATTGTTTGAACGATTCAGAAAATCGTTTGAACGCTTTAGAAATTCGTTTGTACGATTTAGAAAATTGTTTGTACGATTTGTTAAACCGTTTGTACGATTTGTAAAATCGTTTGTACGATTTGTTAAATCGTTTGTACGATTTAAAAAATCGATCGTTTGTGCGATTTAGAAAATCGATTGTACGATTTTTTTTCTTCTGATTCGGAACTGAAGCATACTGGATAAGAAACCTGGTAAAGCTATTGCACATAGAAGTCCCTTCGCTGCTGACTATAACAGGTACAGAAATACTCATGATAAATTTTATCTTGTTCATTAAACGGTATGAAATTGAATATTGTTGTTGTTGGACCTTTGTTAGTGTACAATTTTCGTCTTAATTTGTGTGTTTTCCTTAAACACACTCCCTCCCGATCTTGTATAGAAAGAAGACATCGAATATCTTCTTGACAAACGGTAAATCCTGCCATAATCGCTTTCCACTACAACCACCTGTATCCTTGCAATTGACCACATGACTCAAGTGTTTCCTCAATGAAAAGAGCTACATCCCTTATGTCGGATTTGTTTTTACGTCTGAACAGTCCCAACTTAGCTGTCGTCTTTTTCAACGTTCGTTCCCTAACAAAGACTCGGTGAGTTTGCGAAAGGATCTGTGCAATTTCCGAAAAAGTGAAACCCATCTTGAAATATCTCTTGATCAATTTTTCTCTGTCACCCATCGTGTCATTCATTAAAACTATGCGTGGATACATTTTCTACTTGTGCAAGGTTTTCTACTACCAGAGGCGTAGTCACAAACTTAAAAGTGGGGGGGCTCAAGTCCAGAAATTCTTCTTTGACAAGCAAAAAAAAAAATAAATAAATAAAAAATAAAAAACCTTAATAGTGGGGGGGCTCAAGTCCAGAAATTCTTTGACAAGCAAAAAAAAAAAAAAAAAAACTTAAAAGTGGGGGGGGCTCAACTGCCAGAAATTATTTGACAAGCAAAAAAAAAAAAAAAAAAAAAAAAGAAAAAAAAAAAAAAACAAGATTGAAAGTTACAATTACCAAACTCGAAAATCCGATTTCGTGGGGGGGTGGGGGGGGGGGGGGTGGGGTAGTGGCCAACTTTTTCACAAAGGCAAGTTACTTTCAATTTCAATATTTCAATTTTTTTACACAATTTTCTTATACAACTATGTATTAATATTATTTCAAAATAGCTGTGATTTTGTTCTTCATTAAAAAGTGGGGGGGCACAGACATACTCTTGCCCCCCCAGATCTGAAAGTGGGGGGGCTAGTGCCCCCGCTGCCCCCCCTGTGACTACGCCTATGACTACGCTTCTTCTACGTGTAATAACAAGAAATAAAAATTGTACAAACGATTTTTTAAATCGTACAAAGGATTTTCAAAATCGTACAAACGATTTAACAAATCGTTTAAACGATTTGAAAAATCGTTCAAACGATTTAAAAATTCGTTCAAACGATTTTAAAAATCGTTCAAACAATATAACAAATCGTACAAACGATCTCCTAATCCATACAAACGATTTAAAAAATCGTTTGTACGATTTAAAAAATATCATTTTAAAAAAATCGTTCAAACGATTCTCTAAATCGTACAAATGATTTTAGAACTAAGTCGCACAAACGATTTTCTAAGTCGTACAAACGATTCTCTATTCAAGTCGTACAAACGATTTTCTAAATCGTTCAAACAATTTTATAAATCGTTCAAACGATTTTATGAATCGTTCAAACGATATTATAAATCGTTCAAACGATTTTAATTTTTTTTTCTACATTGTCAATACGGCACGAATACGCCGTCGTACTATTCTCTGGAACAACTCAAACTTTTTTTGCTACACATGGTCCCCGTTTTAATAAAACTCTGTCTATTGCAGCATTGCTACAACCTGCCACCAGAAATATACCGGTGTAAAATTTGGTCGCCACGCGTCTTGTTAGATCCCCCGCTTAAAAAACAGGTATATAGTAATCGTTATGTCCGTTCGTCTGTCTGTCTGTTACGCTTTGGGGTACCCATATCTTATCCGCAACTCCTCTCATACCACTGAATGAAATTTGATGAAACTTTCACAGGATCTTTATTACATATATATATTGCCATTTTGCACCTCCTCTTTTACTTTTTGATCTGACACATATTTTTGGTTTTCCACAACAAAACATGGACACTCCCATTATATTCATATGGGAGGCGGGTGGTATCATTTAGTGAGCTTGAGCTCATTGCTCACAGTACCTCTAATTTGCCACTGTATCAGCAAGAAAACTGATAGTATGTAACCTCGGAATTCAGTAAGGCGTGGCATTCTCGACGTTACAAAATCAGCGTCTGAAATTTACACAGCTTCCATTCACTGCTGAAATATACATGGGATAGAAATTCGGGTGAACCAATAACAGCGTCTCGTACAGCAAAGAGTTGGAACTTAAGTCTTTTCATCGTTGTCACCACAATTTAAAGTTCCAGTTAGAATAGATTAATTCGTGGAAAGGTGAGACATCATAAGGGCAAAGCTGAAAACGCCATACACGGGGGACGTTAATTTTATAACAATTTGACAAAATAATATAAAGGACCTGTTCTATTAAGGTCGCTGCTCTATCTAGATAAAAAAAATGGCAATGACAAATTACTCAACATAATCTATAGAATATATTCCACGTTTAACAATGTACGTATCGGAGAAAATGACTCGTTGTCAATATCCACTGAAAAAATAAGACTAGTAAATTTACTGTCCATACAATCACTACCTCAAAAGTAATTTTACTAAGTATTGGGTAGATTTACTAAATAGCATTAGTAAATCTAGGATTTATAAGTAACTTCCACTACATGAACATGATGGAGGTATTTAAGTATATTTACAACCCCCACTCCACTTCTGAGTTCTCACTATCTTATAGCCAGTAAACAGAATGATTACTTACAAGGCAGACTTTTTAAATTAACTAGGTATTTCTTTCAGTGTTCGTTGGATTTTATCCCACTTGAACAAATTCAGAGAAAAAATCCCAATGGAGAAAATATCCCATCTGACATTTTTTCTCCCATCTGAGAATGGTGGGATAGTTAATGGGACTCAGAATACCACCATTCTCCCATGGGATTCTTACCCTTACTAAAGTAAAATTATTGCAGCAATATTGCCGCTATACTGCGGAAACATTGCAGCAACACATTTTTGTCACCAGAAACAAGCTTTTTGGGTTAGTGAAATATCACCGCTAGCGGAAACAACTTCTGGTGACATTCTGGCAATACTGCCAGAAAAAAAAAACTTTCTGGCAGTATTGCCAGAATGTCGCCAGAAGATCTAGGATTACCCATTATGCATTTGTGAGGATGCTCAGTCATTTACTTCCTCTTTTTAAATAAAATGGAGGGAATTCAAAGGCAAGCATGTTTTGCTTTATTATTGAATGGTATCAAGTTAATTGGAGTTGTTAATTGTGTACAATAGGATTAGACATGATGACTAGTAATACTGAATAATGTGGAATAGCCAGAAAAAAAGAATTTCAGCAGTTTCCATGGCATGGCCTTTTGAAAGAATTATAGGAATGTCTAACTCTGTTTTCATGGCATATATATCAAACTTGGTAAGTCAAAACCATATTCTTTTTTAGATGAATGATTCTATGGAGATAAAATAAGAAAAATTATACAGTATGTATTTCAACTAGTGCTTGTGATGCATGTGTACTACGTATATACATGCATGTATGTCTAATATATATCATACCATTGTTGCAGGAAAAGATGAATGCATGTTATCAATTAAATGCATGAACATATATAATTAATTTATTGCATAAATCTGAATAACTGCAAGGAAATAATATTCTGTGTATATGTTGGAAATTACAAACAAGCTATATATATTATACATTATACTCATGATTAATTGGCATTGGGGAATATGTGATGGGCATCAGCTAATTAAGGTTATTTGAAAAATTATGCAGAGTTGCAGGACATTTTCACAGTGGCATATTTATATTTTTTATCATTATATACACATTTTTTTATGTGCCCGGATTGATAGATCTGGGGCACATATTGTTTTTGTCCTGTCTATTTGTATAAAACTTGAACCTTCGCCATAAGTGATAACTTTTGAACCATAAGAGATAGAGACTTCATATTTAGGATGCATATTCCACTAATTAAGTTCTTTCAAATGACACCAAGATCAATGACCTTGTGACTTTGACTGTGACCTACTAGTATATGCTAAAAATGGTTTTTCAAACTTTGTTGCCACTTGTTTCGAAAACATAGCTTTTTTCAACAAAATTTTTCTATCTTTTCAAAGAATAGCATAAGCTTAAGTAGCTATTTCTTACTGACTCTGTAGCTTATTATGCTATTGATTTTTATGCTATTGATTTTAATGTTCCTCAGCACAATTTGTTAATTGTAATACTAGTAGACTGATAGATAATTTTTTTCTATTAAATACCAATTTATATATGTATATTGTACTGCAGTGTTGCCCCAATATTGCTTCAGCAAAACCTGAAATAATACATGTACTGCAATTGCTTTGCAGCAATATTGCCGCAACACCTTTCTGGCAATATTGCCGCAAATCTAATTTACATACGAAAAACGATATTGCCGCGATATTGCTGCAATGTATTGCCAGAATGTTGCCAGAAGATGTTGCCAGAAGGTGAGTATTTTGGTAAGGGTAATTTTAGGACTCCCATTTCAAAAGCAGTTGGCATTTTGTGATATTGACGTATATGTATGTGTA